GCCGTCGTCGTCCCAACAAAAAGCTTCATTTAGACCGCAGTTTTTATTATTTTCTTAACTTCAATGATAGGCAAAGAGAATTGTTTACCTCATTATCTTTATGAGTGATAATAGGGGTGCTGACACCTAAAATAACTTCACCCATTTATGCTATTTTCTTCAGTGTCCCCTACCTTTGGTTTATTCCACTCAAAAAGTAAAGTATGCCTTTTTCACATATTTGAAATAGGAAGACTAGCGGTGTCTACTATCTTATGCGTAATGTTTTCTTGGGGAGATTTTGCACGGCAAGCCCAGGAACGTCGGATTGCGCAGCTTTCGGACGATAATGCGTTTGTCGACGTTAAAGCAGTTCTCTCCTCTTCCTCAGCGGCGACATCCGCTGCCACGGCTAAAGACGCTGAAAATGCGCTCAATGATGGTGCTAATAAGGTTTCTCATCGTAATCGTGATGAGGAGGCAATGGATCTCGAAAGACGATTCTTTGAAAGTGAATCAACAGGTGGATCAGCGTCCCTAACAAACACCACAGACAATACTGCATCATGTTCATTGCGCGTTGATCGCCTCAGGGGAGGCGAGTTTGGGGCTAATGGGCGTTTGAATTTAACCCAGTGTTTCATTCAACAGCACAAAGATTACACAGAGGCGCTGGCGCGGGCCTGGAAGGAGGCAAATGAGAACGACACGGCCAGTGCTGATGAAGACTACGAGGGGGAGAATTTTCACACCAAAGAGGCATCACACGACTCAAAAGTGAGTGAAACACACGAGGAGGAAATCAAAGCAGTGGGTCGGCGTCAAGTAAAACACATGAGGACGAGTAAAAAGATGAATAACAAAAAACGACAGCAGACACATCCTCACGCTACGCCAACAAAAGGGCAACCACAGAGGCGGTACCTTAAGCAAAGTGAGGTCCGTTTGTGGTGCCCAACAAAAGCGGAGGACGTGGAGACGGAGCTTTCTGAGGAAGTGCGACTTTTGCATGCGTGGTACACTGAAATGAACCAGCTTGGGAATAGCAAGGATGATAGTGAGGATGAGTACGACACCGCAAGCGACAACGTAGCTGACACCTCCAAAAATGACGGCCAACCAGCCAAGAGACCTAAAACCCACGGAACGGGATCGAGGGAGGACAAAGCACGCAAAGGCAAGGGTGAATACGAGCAGCCGCATTCCGTGGCGCCGTCCGTATTGCGTTTCCTGACCGGCTGTCCCAGCTATACCGCGATGACGTCGCCTTCGCCGTTGAGTATGTCCTCCTCGGAGTCAAAGGGGTGGGTGAAGGAGGTCCCTGGTTGCCATACACACCATTTGTGCAGCGTGTGCTTACTCCCGGCGGTGTACCGATGCGCTCGATGTCGAAGTGCACTTTTTTGCTCGATCAAATGCCACGTCGCGCATGAGGCCACTCGATGCATGAAGTACACTGTGTAGATTCTAGGAGGTCCCTATTCAGCAGTTGGTGTGTACTGTAGTCGTTTTCAGCAATGCCCCTATTTCGCTTTTTTTCCGTGCTGCAGTTGTTGGAGGGAGCGGGAAAAGTATTCATAAAACGAGCATAGGGATTTTCTCCTTCTATTATCCTACTGGTTTTCTCATATTTCTTGCCCTATCAGATGCCCTTACTTTAAGGCCAAAACTCTTCCTCACTACCTTTGAATTGCTCCCATGAATTTGCATTCACTCAGCCTTGTACATAAGGGAAATCAGAGTGCAAGTTTTCCACATAAACAATATTTTTGCCAAAGTAGCGAAAATATATTTTTCAGATTTGAGACAATAGAGAATAGTACATTGGAAAGGGGCAAGGGTCCTAGTTAACATTACAATATAAAAGGAGAATAAGACGTAAAGATGTCAAAGTATATTTCTGGTGCTGCAATTTTTAACCAGGGTCTAGATATCATTCCTACTCGTGAAGACTTGCAGAGCAACAACGAGCCCCGACAACTCGCGACTCTTCTTCAGGTGATAGGCAACATGGCGATCGGAAAGGACATGTCTAGTTTCTTTAACGAAGTCACGGCGTTAATCTCATCAAACAATCTTAGAATAAAGCGGTTAGTGTACATTTATTTTATCCAAAATTGTCGTGCGAATCCTGAAAAGGCTGTCTTGCATGTTGGATCCTTAACAAAAGATACCTTACATAACTCTCCCCTCATTCGCGGTGCCGCACTGCGCGCTATGTCAAGCTTACATATACCTATTATGGCAGACGCTGCGACGGCACCGATAATCCGATGCTTAGAGGATTCTGATCCTTACGTCCGCAGTATTGCCGCAGTGGGTGTGCTCAAGCAATATACCATCACACACTTAACTTCTTTTGACTATGGATTGATTGAAAATCTCAAAAAACTACTTTATGATCCCAATCCTGTAGTGTGTGGAATGTGTGTACAAGTCCTCCTAGAATTGCACAACAGACAGGCTTCAGGTGGCTTGTTGAGGGCCATCTCTGATGCGCGCCCGCACCTTTTAACAATACTGGATGAGGCAACGGAGTGGTCAACATACTATATCTTGCAAGGAATTGCAGCGTCCTTCCGGTGTGCGTTTTCAACCTTGATACCCTCTGGTGCCAATCATCTGTATGACACTGTGGCACATGATATATCCATGAAAGAGAACGAGGAAGTTATAATACAAATTCTACCGTACCTTTATGCCTCTAATAGTGCCACGGTGATGGCTGCCGTAAAGCTTGTAATGCTATTTCTGAGGTTCACAACGAGGCAAGATGAACATTTGTCAAATGACTATCGAGAAGCTCTTGATCGGCGCTTCGTTACGCCCATCACTAATGCACTGGTTTCTTTAGTTCACACATCTCGCTGCGAGATTCGGTACCTGGCACTGAAAAATATTCAACTGTTTCTTTCTACACGCTTTTTGCGCTTTTTTGAGCCTTGTCTTGGCATTTTTTTTGTTCGGAATGATGATCCTATTTACATCAAGCTAGCTAAGCTTGACGTTTTAGTTGGATTAGCCAATGAGTCCAATGGGGCGCAGGTCCTGTCAGAGTTGGAGGTTTATGCCAGGGATACCGATGTAGAGATCTCCTCTAAGAGCATTCGATCGATTGGTTTGTTGGCTATAACTATTCCATCACTTGCACCCACGTGTGTTAAGAAGCTAGAGGGTCTCATTCACACAAAAGACGCCCACATTGTCGAGGATGCTGCAGTAGTGGTGCAGAACGTGCTTCGGCAGTACCCGGGTAGCTTCTTGGGTGTTATTCCTATTGTGTACGAGTCACTAAGCCTTCTAGATGATGAGGACGCACGCGCAGCAGTAGCGTGGATCATTGGGGAGTACGCGGACCAGGTACCGCAAGCCATGGATTACCTCCAGGTCTTTGTCAGTAATTATATGAAAGAGCCCTTTAGGGTTCAGCTTGCGGTGCTTACTGCACTTGTCAAGCTGCGGGTGCGCGGTGTAAGTGGGAAGTCTTCGGAGACGGTACTAGAGAGCCTCGATGTTGTCTTAGCGCAGTGTGCGGAGTGTCAGCAGCCAGACCTTCGTGATCGCGCCTTCTACTATCAGAGGTTGCTTGCCACCGATATCGTCATGGCGCGGCAGATCCTTTGCGAGGCGCAGAACGTGTCGTTGCAGATGCCTAATTTTCCCTACGAGCGCAAGACACAGAAATATATATTTGAGGATCTTGGGTCTCTTCAATCGGTGATACACCAGCCAGTCCAGCATGCGCTTGGGAAGTCTATCGATGGAGGCGGTGAAGTTGACACCGGTCGTTATTTCTCTTTTGCTAGCAACCTTGATGACGGCGAAGATTCGGAGGGAAAGGACTCCGAGGCTAGCCTCCCCGAGATGGAGGCAATTTCTTCGGCACAAAGGGACCACTTCAATGACACCATCGAGGATGACGAGCGAAGGGAGCGCACGCCCAACACGATCGAGGAAAGCATCCAAATAGGTGCGGATAACAGTATTGGTCAGCGCGACGGCATCTTTTCTTCGCTCACAGGGGGTGTCTCCATATCGGAGTATATGCCAAACACTAGTCCGTATCATCGTTTTGTGGATTCCGGAAGCCCGCCCGCGACCGTCGCTGTCGCAGCTGGGATGAACTACCAGGTTGTTTTGCCCGCCGCTGAAGGCGGTGGGGTCGAGGTCGCGTTGCGTTGGTCGCAGCTAGGGGTGAAGCTCGTCCTGAACTGCCGCGTGCGGCTGCATCGCGGCGACGACTACGTCCGCCGCGCGCGGCTCACCGACCTCCAAATCAACCGAAACCTCTTCAGCCTTGGCGTGCAGCAGGTGTTCCCCGCGATAAGCCTCGAGGCGGACGACAAATCCAGGGAGGTTGGTTTAATCATTTCCTGCAACAACGAGCGGAAACCGACGCGGGATCTGGAGGTTGCACTGGATATCAAGCCAGTCGGGGTGCGCTACGTGTTGGCGCCACCCGTTCCACCTGTTATGCTGCTGTTGCCCGCCACGGGCTGCGACGTGGCGGACTTCCTAGGGTGGTGGAGGGAGATCCCCGACCCAACATGGTGCGTACCGTCGTCGATTGTGTGCGGGAAGTGCGAGGAAAGCCGCTTCACCCCTAACGCGTTGCGGGTGCACTGCATTAACTTGGTCCACCGCAAGGACCTAGCTCCGCCCGGACTGACGTCATTCTTTCTTCACGCAGAAACTATCGGGCGTGACCGGCTTCTTGTGGATGTGACCGTCTACCGTGAGAGGTTGTTACTTCTCACAGTACGTTGCAACTACGCACCAATCGCGGCGTTTTTTGGAGAATACATCAAAAATTCTATATGTAGCCATGCATAAGCCTGGCTTCACTAGAGCTGACAACAAACAAATCATAAAGGTAAGATATTCCCGCAAAGACAAGAGTGGCGAAAGGAAAAAACGTCGCGAGCGTCATTGAACTGTTTTGCTGGACCTTATTACATCTCAGGGCCCAGAAGCTTCACCGTACACCACGCAATTCCTCCATCCTTCGTCCCATGCAGGCTGTCCTTGTGCATGTGCTTTTCTATCCTGTGATGCAGCTTATTCGGTGCCTAATTGGGAGGAGCTTTTGTGTCCTTTACGAACCTCCAACTTCCATGCTTCTTCCCCACAGTTGATTTTAAATTCGGGCAAGGCTCCTTGTTCTTCATTTGTGTCAAACAAAGAAGGATCGGCAAAGGAGTTTAGTAGAGACTATTCTAGTATGATACCACCAAAGAAATCAATACGTTTCCTTAACCTTCAGTCCCCTTATTGGAGTGAAAATATTGTGCCACGACGGACATGTGTTTTGGACGCTCCTGGGTATATACATTCTTTCTCCCTCGATTTTTTTTATCTCATCTCAAGATTCCTCTCTGTGTTCTCGCGATTATTACTAACTAAAAAGCTAACTTATTCCATTTAAAAATTGAAATTTAACCTTGCATTAATCAATAGCAACAATGCAGGCTAAAAAGCAGGTGTACTACTTTGGAGGTGGTAAGGCTGAGGGTACCCGGGACATGAAGATGCTTCTCGGCGGCAAGGGTGCCAACCTCGCTGAGATGGTGAACATTGGCCTGCCCGTTCCCCCAGGCTTCACCATCACCACGGAAGTCTGTGCCGCTTACCAGGTTGAGAAGAAGGTCCCTGCTGAGGTGACGGCGATGGTCAAGGAGATGGTCAAGAGGGTTGAGGTGGAAATGAACAAGGAGTTCGGCAGCCTTGAGAACCCCCTCCTGTTCTCTGTTCGCTCTGGCGCGGCGGCGTCGATGCCTGGCATGATGGACACCGTGCTGAACCTCGGTCTCAACACGGCTACCGTGGATGCGTGGGTGGCTCGCTCTCCGCACCTGTCCCGCTTTGTCTACGATTCCTATCGTCGCTTCATTACGATGTATGCCGACATCGTGATGCAGGTCGGGCGCGAGGATTTCGAGAAAGAGTTGGGCAAGATGAAGCAGCAGCGTAACACCAAATTCGACAGCGATCTCAGTGCTGACGACCTCAAGCAGCTCTCGCAGCAGTACCTCACGCTGTTCGAGAAGAAGACAGGCCAGCCGTTCCCTCAGGACCCGTGGACGCAGCTGCACGCCGCGATTTGCGCCGTCTTCCGCAGCTGGACGAACCCGCGCGCCGAGATGTACCGCCGGATGAACCACATCACCGGGCTCATCGGTACCGCTGTGAACGTTCAGGCTATGGTGTTCGGTAACATCAACGACAAGTCCGCCACGGGCGTTGCCTTCTCACGCAACCCATCCACCGGTGAGAATTACTTCTACGGTGAGTACCTGATCAATGCTCAGGGTGAGGATGTCGTGGCTGGCATTCGCACGCCCCAGCAGATCAGCAAGGCCCTCTCGCTGAAGTGGGCCAAGGAGTACGGCGTCACCGAGCAGGAGCGCATGCGCCGCTACCCGTCGATGGAGGAGTCCATGCCTGAGAACTACCACATGCTGTGTGATATCCGCGGGAAGCTGGAGAAGCACTACCGCGACATGCAGGATATTGAGTTCACTGTTGAGAACGGCCGCCTATGGATGCTGCAGTGCCGCGTTGGCAAGCGCACGATTCATGCCGCGGTGAAGATCGCCATTGATATGCACAACGAGGGCATGATCACCAAGGAAGAGGCGGTGCTGCGTGTGGACCCAGAGCAGGTCAGCCATTTACTGCACCCCACGATCGACCCCTCCTCCGTGGCCAAGGCCAAGCCCATGGGCAAGGGTCTGGCCGCCAGCCCCGGCGCTGCGGTCGGCCAGGTTGTGTTCAACGCGCAAGACGCAAAGGCTTGGGCCAGCAGGGGGAAGAAGGTCATCATGGTGCGTCTGGAGACCTCGCCCGAGGACCTGGCCGGCATGCACGCCGCAGAGGGTATCTTGACGGCTCGTGGTGGCATGACCTCACATGCTGCCGTCGTGGCCCGCGGCATGGGCAAGTGCTGTGTGTGTGGCTGCGGCGACATGCAGATCAAGCAGAAGAAGTTCACACTCCACGGGGTTGAGATCAAGGAGGGTGACGTCATCACGCTGGATGGCAGCCGCGGTCTCGTCTACAAGGGCGCCCTGAAGCTGAAGTCCGTCAGCCTGGAGGGCAACATTGAGGTTCTCCTCAAGTGGTGCAAGGAGATCAAGCGCCTGGGCGTGCACGCGAACGCGGACACCCCGAACGACGCCATGACCGCCCACAGCTTTGGTGCCGATGGTCTGGGCCTGTGCCGCACTGAGCACATGTTCTTCGATAAGAAGCGCATTAGTGCGTTCCGCCAGATGATCCTGGCCGACAAGCTTGCGGACCGTGAGCTCGCTCTTGCCAAGCTGATGCCGATGCAAAAGGAGGACTTTAAGGGTCTGTTCCGCATGATGAAGGGTAAGCCCGTGACGATCCGTCTTCTGGACCCTCCGTTGCACGAGTTCCTGCCCACAAAGCCCTCTGCGCAGAGGGCCCTGGCGAATGAGCTTGGCGTTCCGGTTGAGAAGATCGAGCAGCGCACGAAGAATCTTCACGAAGTGAACCCGATGTTGGGTCTGCGCGGGTGCCGCCTAGGCATTGTGTACCCGGAAATCTACAACATGCAGGTCCGCTCCATCATTGAGGCCGCCCTGGAAGTCACGAAGGAAGGCGTAAGCGTCCGCCCCGAAATTATGATTCCCCTCGTTGGCAAGAAGGAGGAGCTTACCTACACCAGGAAGAACGCCGTCGAGACCGCCGAGAAGGTCATGAAGGCCCACAACATGCGCGTGGACTACCTCATCGGTACCATGATTGAGGTGCCTCGTGCGGCCATTACCGCTGATGAGATTGCCGAGGAGGCTGACTTCTTCTCCTTCGGCACGAATGACCTCACGCAGCTGGGCTCCGGGTTCTCGCGCGACGATGCCGCGTCCTTCCTGCGCCGCTACATCGACCTTGACATCTACTCCCGCGATCCCTTCGAGTCGCTCGACCAAAGCGGCGTTGGCATACTTGTGAAGATCGCCACCGAGAAGGGCCGCCAGTCGAAGCCGAATCTCAAGCTGGGTATGTGCGGCGAGCACGGTGGAGACCCACAGACAGTCAAGTTCTGCCATAAGATTGGCCTTGACTACGTCTCTTGCTCACCGTTCCGTGTGCCTGTAGCGATCGTGGCCGCCGCGCACGCCGCCGCACAGGAGAAGTTGAACAAGGCCAAGCCTGCGAGGGGAATTGCTGCAAGCAAGCTTTAAATTTCCTTTTTTAATCCTCCCTAAATTCCACCTTCATGGTTTAACACACATAAAATATCGAGAAGCACACCTAACATCGTCAGCGTTGAATCAATAATCAGAGTAGGGGGTGTACAATTCATAATTCTTTTTTAAAGATAGCGACCCGTGGAAACCCCTCATATGGTATGTCAAATGTGTTCTCTCTAGGTTTGTGGGTTTCCCATAGTTGTTTAGTGGATTAGTAACTGATTTTGTGGTAATGGTCTCGATAAATATGGGAATCTTATTTTAAATATCAGCTAAAGTTATTCGATTTTGTAACCTTTCCCCCCTAATACGTTTCCCCGATTCTGATATTCTGACACTTTTTGACAAAAAACATATTGGAGACCGTGATTGTCTTTTAAATATAGCACAACGATAGGTTTTCTGTTCTCCTGTTTGATTTTCCTTTCTCCGCAGTTTATTTATCTGAAATATTTTCACTCCTTTCTGTGACACAACTAATTGAGTGGTGTGTAGTGAAAATTGGGATCATGGTGTAAAAGAATAATATTAGTAAGTGATAAGCATCATACCCCTGTTTGTCACAGAAACTTAGTCTACTATGAGTGACAAGCAATTAAGAAGACCGCATTAATGATATATCGTATAAGTAGTATAATGAGTGGTTGTCGAAGCTATGCTTTAAAAAAGACTATTGAGGGGATACTGCATTTAGGTGTAATTATATGATCCACGGATGGATCTGTTTTATTAATATTAAGCCTATATTTCTCAGTAAAAACTTATATGCATAAAAAATAAATGTAGTCTTCCTTTTGTATGTGTGTGCGTGTTTGACAGCGCATCGAAGCACACCTGAGGCTTAGCATGTCCGACATGAACCTATCTTGTTAGAATGATCCTACTTGTGCTTCTTGATACTGATATTTTTACTTTAAGGATTCATCATATCGGCGCTTGTATACGCGGCTCCATAATTTTAGCCCCCTAAGGAATATTGTTTTCTAACCTCAGGGAGAAGATAATACGAACTGAACCTTTTGTTAAGCAAAGCTATACAATCCATCCAATATTGATCAGGTGACAATTGCTCCTTGAGATCGCAGAGTGAGCGGTGCAACTCAGTGAGAGAGGAGATTGGAGGGTCTAGGAAGCCACACACTTAACATAGCGGTATCGGTTCTCATCATGCAAGGTCTTCCTGCCAAAACCGTTGAGCAGCGAGAAGTGCTACTTCAGAAACGATCAGCCGCATTCTGCGCTCGTGCGGCCTCGCTAGCTTTTCAAGCCACCGACTACAATGTGGAAGGTTCCCAACAAGGCGGAAGTGTGGAGCCGCATGACGTGGATGCGCAGCCGACAGTGCTACTACTCACACAAAACATTGGTGCTATCAGGTGTTGTAGTGAGGCTCCGCCCGCCGAGGAGCATTTTACGGGAAACGAAGAGTCTAGTGAAGATGTCAAAGGGGTTACTGATGCTTCATCCACCGCAATAGCGGGCGAAGCTTCGGGCGGCGCCACAGTGCCACTGGGGTCTGAGAAAACGGAAGCGTATCCTAGCAACGAAGAGGAGACCTTGCCTGCGCCGATTCAGGGCGGTGGGGAAGGGGTTGCCGTGCTCACGGAGCGCAGCAAGCAGTTAGTTTATGAGTTTATCGCCGATTTGCGTTCGTGGATTCACCGCGCGGCGTCCTTTGCAGATGCGCGAAGGCGGCGGATGAGGTCACGTCTACGCTCCCCATCACAGCACGGTGACAGCCCTGCGGCCGGTGATGTTGACGAAGCTGACGTGAGAAACCAAGATGAGGTGGACTGGTGGACGACCGCAACGGATCCCCCGAGCACCGCCGGGATACAGCCGCCGCAAATAGATGTTATTGTGATTCATTTCCAGGAAGTCGGCGGCGCGGACCGGGAGAGGGCGTTTAGCGACTTCTTCGCGACAGCTATCTCGACGCGGTTACTGCCGGAGGCTGGATGGACGAGTGGGTTGCTGATGCATCACAGCGATCCCGATGCGGAGGAGGAGAAGGGTTTGTTCACTGGGGTAGGAAGCATTGTCTTTCTCTCGCCACGGATGTGCCCGATCACGAGTTTGCTGCTCATCCCGCATCGGATTTATATTCCCGTCTTAGACGACCCCTGCTCCTACGGCGGGAGCATCCTGCGTGTGTTTCACGGTGCGAGCTTCACGTCTTCGCCACGGTCGCGGAAGGGTTTTGTTTTTATTTCCCTGCGGCTCGGCACGGTGGTGCTGAACCTCTGCAACGTGCACCTCTTCCACGACGCCGACAACACGAAGGCGGTGGCGAGCAGCCCAAGCCGCTACGCGCGGCGCCGCCTGCAGGCCTGCCTCGAGGCGATCGCTGAGTGCCTGCCGATGAGCGGCCGCGACGAGCCTTTCTTCGTCTTTGGCGACTTCAACACGCGGCTGGATGGCTACCAGCTCACGCAGCAGCTTCAACACGCGTCGCCGCGAATGGAGCTGCGGACGGGGCCGAGGGAGCTCCGCTGCCCGGACGGCTTTTGGGCGCGTTTCGCCCACCCCGACGCGCGCGCGCAGCTCCGGGCGCTCGACCGTGAGCCCTCGCGCCTGCTCGACGCCGTCGCTGAGAGCACCGGGGTGGAGCTCGCGGAGATGCCTGTGAGTTTCGCACCGACGTACCTCCGCCTACCGACCACCCTCGTGGATCGCGCCGCGAACGTGGACGCCCCCCACGGGAGCGCAGAAAAGAGCGGTGGGAGAGGGGAGGGAGAGGTAAAGGAGGAGGACCCTGCTGCCGCCGCCGCAGCGCTGATAGCACCCCGTGCGCGCGCGAACTTTGCGCATCAGCGCATTCCCGCGTGGTGTGATCGTATTATGTTCAATCCAGCTGCGCTGGAGTTCGTAACCAGCCGCCTCCGCGGTGGCGGGTCTAAACCCCCTCAACAAAATCGCACCTCGGAGGGGGAAAGTGACGCGTGCGATTCCCCAAGCTGTGGTGACAGCAGGCCCAGGAGTGCTGATGTGGCGTATTTGTACGACGCCGTATCACTACTGCATACCGATCACGACGGTGTTTTCCTATTGTTTTAAAAACCCCCCTCTCCCAAAGAGAGAGGCGCTCGGCTGGTTAATGCTACCTTGGTGTCGTTTCTAAGTGGTTGGTGGCAAGAAGGAGGAGTGGGATTCGTCCAAATTAAATTCCTCCGCGTCGACTTGCGCCTATCTGCATCCAAGTGCGTGAGCTGGTGGGGAAATCACGCCACATAAAGCAACCGAAGAACACGAGAAAAAGTGTTTTCGCAAAAACGGGAATGATAATAGGAGTCCAATGAACTCTCAGTAAATGGTTGCACGCGAACACAGACGCATACACATCACGACGAGGTACTTTTATTTAAGCTCTGTCCCACCTCTCGCTGCGGACTTGCGGTTCGCAGGCATAGCGACATTTTCGCATGAAACCTTATCGATTAACGTCTGCTGCTGTGGTCGTTCCCTCGCGTCTCCCTTTCCATTCGAGAGCTCACTCTTGACGAGCGAGGAAGGTTAAAAGGTGCCGTTTATATTTTGTGGTAGGGTGGGGTGAAAAGCAACCCTGTTGCCACTGTTGCTTTACAAATGCACGGATCGGTTGTTTTCCTTTCCTCCCATTCTACCCATATTGCCCGGAAATTTCTCTTGTGTAAACTTATTTGTGTCACAGAATTTCTGGTTCACGACAACAACTAACATTAAGTACCACAACTAGGATGCTCAAGAGGGACATTCCAGTCGAGAATGCCTTGTACGGTTCTCTTAGCTCAGGGGTGTGGTTCCCATTTTTATTGTCCCGGTTGTCTGCCATGGTTTAGATCCTTCTCGTGTCATGGTATCCTTGGTGATGCTACCAGTAGCTGAGCATCCTGCCTGCGTTCAATAGGGCCAAGGGGTTGGCTTTTCCGCTCCCAACCCTTCTTACTTTGACGTGTCTCGGTTGCCCCATTGCATTCTGTCTCCTTTTCACGCCGATACCACAGCTGAACATCACTCACTCCTCTTGCTTTGTTCCCCTTTACCAACCCTCTTTTATGCTTGCTTGGTCTCTTTTCCGGTGTCTTCCTTTCCATACTTTAGTCTATGGTGTATAGACGAGAAACCCCACCAAGCATGTATAAGATTTTTGTTATGAGTATGGGCAGTGGCGGGGTTGATTCTCCGTTCAGATAGTGCCTAACGAGGGATTTTCTTCCTGCGCGTTCGATCCATGCAAATGTCCCCAGTTGCTTTGTGAAGTACCACAACTGATTGCACTGTTTTCACCCGCGAGTGGCATCGACGCCGCCCTTTTTCTCTCTCTCTGTGTGTGTGTGTGGTGGTCTTTACCGCCGTCTGCGCGGACTGTTCATTTGATCAGTGTGTGCGCTGGGTTGAGGGGGGAGCTTGCGCAGGCGATGGAGCTCTAGCCATTCTACCTTGTTTCGATTTGCCTCAGTGTTCTTCGTTCTTGGGTCGACTGCAAGGCTGTAGCGAAATCACATTGCAGCGTGCAAGTAGGAACTGGATAGGGTGACTTCCTTTCTCGATGCCCATTTCGATCTCCCTCTTTGTTTTCCCGAGCTACTGGCAACGGAAGGGGCAAAAAAAATATCCCTCCACTATGGCCTTCCAAAGCAGTTTATTATCTCAAAAGACTCTATGAAAAATCGCATAGAGAAGTTTGGAATGGACTGTATTTTCCTGCTTCACGATCTCCCCACGTGACCCCTAAGCTTTTAACCTTTTTGTCAGTAATTCCAATATTTCTCTTGTTTTCCTTTATTCGACCTGCCTTCTAGTGTTAGTCCATTTAAATATCGCTTTTCCCTAGGTTAGATACCTATTACTGTATTCGGGACACTGAAGGGCGCCCCTACGTATTACTTTTTTTAGTGCCACAAGGAAGTAGTATTCTTTTTATTTGGGTTTCGTATTTTTGTTCCCACTTGTTTGATAGCTCATTTTTCGCTCACACTGGCACAGTACGATGTCTAGAACAATTTCGCTAATCGCGTGCGGGGCGCCCGCCGCGCTGATGGGGGCTGCCACCACCCTCATCTCCAAGGCTACCAGGGGTGCCGTCACACCCGTTATCACCGAGGCAGCCGAGCAGCACGCCGTCGTCGTGGGCGCCGCTCCCCCTAGTAACGTCTACGCTAGCGTCGTGCGGCCGCCCGCCCACCCCAGCGCGGCGTACGCGGGGATTCTCACCACCGTCGTGCGCGCCATCCTACCTCGTGAACAGCCCGCGAACAGGCTCCAGATGCGTGATATTCTCGACGTCTATCCCTCCTCTGGCATCGACTGCACCGCGGAGGAGGAGCGTGCGAGCTCGACCTTCGTGAAGGCCGCGCGGCTCGCCACGGAGCTTGCGAAGGAGCAGAAGGCCACACGGCTGACGCTGGTGATCAAGCCCGCCTCGAAATACGAAAATTTGAACAATATATTCCTAAAGGCCGCCACCGAGGTGGCGGAGTCGGCAGGTCTGACGACGGAGGTTGTTCACACCGCCAAGGCCGCAAACGAGCTCGTGGTGTTCCCGGAGAGGCACGCCGTCGTGCTCACCAATGACGACCCCGTTTGTGAGAACATGCAGCGCGCCTTTGCGGGGGTGGTGGGTGGCGCACCGGAGCAGTACTACACCGAGAGCGGCGGCTGCATCTCAGGCGGGGCGAGCTACAGGTCTGTTGCGCTGGCAATCGCGCAGGAGCTGAAGAATTTAGGGTTGCGGCAGGAAGCGGAAAAAGTGCTGGCGGTCGTCGCAAAGGATCCACGCAAGGTGGAGCTTTGACGTGCTATAGGAGCAAACAGCCCTCCTCCTCCTCCTCCTGTATCCTTGGCAGCTAGACAGGGGAAGAAGAAGACGTTACTTGGTGTACTGTGACTGGGCAACTGAATCGGAGGGATTGGACTACTAAACAGTGTGGAGAGAGAACGGAGGCTATTTTTACTTTCACCTTGGCGTGTAAATGCGAGATTCACTTCCTTCGTCTAGCAAAGAGTTAGTGTACTTATTTCTCTTGTAGTAACCAATATCGATCATGCGCAAAAAGCCCCTAAGGGCTTTCATTTGCAGGAAACTATTGTTAGTAGGAAAAAATGGTGCAGTCATGCCGTGGAGGGGGAAACAAAATGCGTTAAAAATATGGAATCTC